ATTTTAAGCATTTTATAGCGAATTTCGTCGATTCCAGCTGCCTTGTCACTTTTATATTTTTATTACCTATACTTCATCTGCTTTTGTCTGCTACCATTTAAACAGGTTTTCTTATAGTTAAAGAGTATTAAAGAGTTTCTCAAAGTACTCTCCATGGACGAAGCATGTTTTCATCTTTGATAAGGGGCGTCCAGAGTTGTCCGTCAGGACCCTGAGCCGTTGTTTCTATTCCAGAGGATATGGATGGTCTGCCTGAATCACTTGTTTGCAGTTTGGAAATTCGACGCTAGCGCCTCAAAGGAGAGGGCTCTGTTCTACACCCAGCGGAACGCGTCACACGTAGGACCAAATTTTGACTAAACTTGCCAGCCCTTATTAACTAAAATGGTTGGAGTGACAAAGTTTTTGTGTATGGTGCTGTGTTGGTCATTTGGTAAACTCCAACCGATCAAGCACTAAGTTGTTGTTGCTTTTTGACAAGCTGTTATGTCACTGTGGGCCGTTGACTTTGCCGGCAGGTCGTTTGTTGCTGTCACTATAGGCCTTTGCTTTAATTTCTTGGACCTTTCGAGGCATCTGATCTTGCTTATCCAGGTCTTTTACGTTTCCATTTCACAATTTTTATACATATTATTTTCCACTGCTTGAATCAGCGGAGGTTCTAGTACTAATCGTCGAAATGAGTCAGTTGACCTGGTAATAAGTCTTGTGTGTACGAAGCCAGTGCAGTCACCGGTAGTGATATGGTAATGTACGGGGACAGATGTTAATTCAACTTTCTTTAGGTTTCTTGGCAAGTCATAAGTCGCTTGTTCGGTCGCTCATGTTTTGCACCTCTTACTCATGTAAATATCGCAGTATTGGCCGACACATCGTGAACTAGTGTTTCAACAGTTAGTCTGGTAAATAACTATCCGCACCTTTTGTAGTGGGATACGATCTTTCTCTTTGATAAGCAGCGATCCATGCTTGCGTTTCGACCTGAAGGAGATGCGGATATTTGCAGAATTCAAAATCCTGTTGACGGATTTCGAGAGATCTAAAACGTACGGGGTGCATATGGTGCCGGTCGGTTTCTATTAAAGATTTTCCTGGGGCCCTTAGGCTCGACGTTGCTGCTGTTTTCACTAAGTTCTTTGGATAACAATTTCATTCCTGTGGAGATTTTTAGCTTTTTTCAGCAAGCGGCATATAAAAAATGTACGATTGAATGAGCCTCAGCGGTAAGGTGGAATTTTTACACTATGGAATAGTGTTTTGTTCTGCCCAAAGGTGACACAGTGGGTGATTTCTGATCGTCTGCCAAACACTTGTGATCCCCATTCATTAAATTAATTCATTGACTGGTTAATTCATTTTCAAAGTCCACAGCCCCTTTACGTCGCGCCGCAGCTGTTTCAGCGGGCCATCCAAACGTTCCTTGTCCTCTGCCAATAGAACAGGCTCCATGAACTGGATTTTGAGGCGCCATAATGCCAGTACTTCCGTGGGGTCGAACGATCTGGTTCACAGTTTGTCTTTCGGCCATCTTCTCTGCGGCTTTGACCAGAGTTTAGGCCTGGAGGGTCTGTTTTCTGACTCCCTCATCAAATGCCCAAATGATTGTAGTTGTGGTCTCGACTTAGAGAAGGGGTGGCTTACTATTGAGAGTATCTCCAACTGTCGTATTCTCGATTTTGCCCAGTTTCGTTATTCCGGGAGTTTTTCGAAGAAGCCTCATTTTTGTTGTTCGAATGTGAGATCGCATTCTCTCGGTCAATCTGCAGCATTCTTGACTACGTGAGAGTAGTTATTTATATAAAGTTGAAGACGCATAAGTCTGCACTGTTGCTGAGCTTTTTATTCATCCCAGTAGACCGGGTTAGCGCACGCTTTACGACGCTCCTCTGGCCGATACCTGCCCGATCTGTTTCAACAGCCGGTCCCCAATCGTTCGTGGATGTCACTCCAAGAAACGTAAACTTTAGCTCCCATTCTGGTAGTTGCATTTATCTGTAGAGTTCACTGAATTGCCTTTTCACGAGTACAAAAGTCTGTTTTGAGTAGCATGGGTGATTTTCATGCCGGTCATCGCGTGTAGCAGCGAAACGATTACTCGACAAAGTGAAAGCTTCACCATATCATCATTGGAGAGGTCATCCTCAAATTGCCACTGAATCGGTGAACCATATGTAGATGCGACGTTCTCTGCACCCGGGCTGCGTTTTCTGAATCATTCTTTAAAATTTATGAAAAGGAGAGGGGAATACGCACATCTATGATCGATGCAAATGCTGATCATGAAATGTATCCGGTTTTCTGTTTTAATGCTATTAATCCGGTTATAGACCTTTGAGAAGTGGTATTAAATTCAGTCTTTCGACTGCGTTTGTTGCATCACAGTTCTCTGTAATTCTCAGCAGGACCGACCACACTGACAGGATATTAGCCTAGCATGTACTTTAGTGCTTCAGTACTAGTATCGCTGCGAAGTAGCTGAGTCTAGCTATCAAAGAAAATTTCAGTTTGGAACTTCGTGTAGATGTATTTGCCAATGAGTACCTGCATTCTGTGTGATTTTTGCTCTAAATTCAAAACTTTTTCAGCTGTGCTGTTCGTAAAGTACGCTGACGATATCGCTCCATTGGTTACAGTACAGTCCAAATCAGACGTATTTTGTATTTGTCCTTCTCCATTCATGAGGTGGAAGATAGGATGAGCGGTGCGAGGCCAAACACTTAATCCAGACAAATGTATAGACTGTAATTTCCCTTATGCAAGGCATGTGTGAGCAAAGCAGTGCCTATATTCAGCCTGCTTTACCAACTGCACAGTTTGTTCCACGGTAAAATATTTGGAATCAGTTGTGGATGCGAGCCTTGGCTAAAAACAAAGCATGAATGCAGTTATTGGTAAAGTGCCGCAATCGCCTCGGTGTCATTGTGCAGATTGAGGAGATTGTGCGTTGGTTGGCATTTACTGAAAACTTCTCCGAATCCTGTATTCCTCTACTCTGCACCGGTCTACTTTTACAATCTTCAGCGAAAATATCTGACTTGTATCCGGAGCCTTTTGAAACTGCCAGGTCGATTCTATATGAATTTGAGTCGATTCTATCCAGATGATTAATAACGACAACAGTTGTTCGGGCAGTTCTGTTTAAACCTATGTAACTCGCATGTACCAGTGTTTTCAATACTGCCCTTTGAAGCGATCAAGCTCAAAATCGGTGTACGTTTCTTGCAGATGCCAGACTGAGGCTTACCGAAAGTCAGCCGTTCAGTTTTGACCTGCTGGCACAGTTGTCCAATAGGTGCGGGGTTCCATTCCGCTTGATTACAGTTCTCGTCTTGTTCACGAATTCCGTTGAGCAAGGAATTTACCAAACATTGCTTCAGACCAGTGTAGTTCAGTCGGTATAGCGTCGAACTCAGGACCGATAGGTCTAAGTTAAAACCCCAGTCACTGTCATTAGCCCTTCTTCCTTCCGAGGTATATGAATGACTACTACTCTGTGGGAAGGAAACGGGACTGCACGTTACGCTTACACATGGCTGTAGAATCAGCCTTTAAAAAAATAGAGCACTCATGTTTGGTGGCGTAGAAACGGAAACCAGTAACGCATCATCAACTTCATGAAACGAAGGACGCCAAAAATGGCCCATTCATCAAAGTGAAGAAAGTCAGACTTTCTTTTTTTCTTTTTCTTTCCGTTTCCTGACCGATGTCTGACTGATTCCAAGAAGAACCATCATTTTGCACCGGACTCAGGTCAGCTACTATGAGTCAAATGAACTTTCGCAGTTGGTTTTCTTTTGTTTGGATTTTGTTCATTGTTATGCCTAGGGTTTTGGCAACTTGTCATGCTCCTTACGGTTGAAATAGGTCGATTTCACTAAGCGACTGTGACTCTAAGCACGCGTCTCGTTTGGTCTTAGAATTGCTTCCGTAGTGCTGGTACATCTGCATTCCACCCGGTCTGCCTTTGTTAGTAAACTCTTCAGTCGCTGTTGCACATTCGAAGTCTGGTAAATTAGTGGCTAAACTGAGAAAACTGAACATCAATGAGCTTGGAGTTTTCACACTGAAGAGGTTAATGCAACGACTGATATGCACTTTGGAAAACAATCATTTTCGAGCCCATTCATCCGTTGTATGTAGCCCCAGAAATACCGAGCAAAAACGCCGTCGACCAGGACCATGCCGATCATTCGTTTACGTTTACAGTCAGATGCATCATCAGCCGTTAGAATGAAAAGCATAGAATGTATAGAATGGGCTGTGCACGAGGTAGCCTCGTCTTTATCAGTTTTATTTTGTACTTCTTGACAACGTAAATTATCGTGTTTTGTTAGAGACGCTTAAGTAGATCGACTTGCATTGAAGATGTATGAAACGTTAAGTAATATTGTTGTCAAAAGTTTCATGTAGTGTTGTCATCCGTCTAAACTGTGTTTTATGATTGTCATCCAGTTTTAACACTAGAACTTTTTACATGGCTCAGTAAATACTCACTGCCTCTGAAGTGTTGTCATTTGTAATGCATACGATAGGTTTGATGATCCTCTATTTAGATGCTGCCAGGCATATGGGCGGGTTTCGTCCAAAATTGCGCATATGGCCATCTGAGCCAAGGTTAGATCGGTTGTATGAGGCTACGCGAGTCGGAGTAGCACTAAGGAACCAACATCGACTATGGCGCGATTCGACGGAGTGATGTTGCCGACGCTGGATGAAGATGACGAGTGCCTGAATGGCGAATGTGTCGTCGATGCGTCATCTTCCTGCTGCGAGTTGTCGTCGAAACGATTACGGTACCAGGAACGACGCGAATTTTACAAGAACTTCTCGATCCTTCTTCACCTTGGCGACAGTTTCATGAAACGTCAAGAGAAGTCATGGAAGAGCACCACCAGCAGGCCATTCTCTTGC